GGAGTTGAAAGAAAAGGAAGGGTGAAGAAAAATGAAAAAAACCTCTCACGAAGAAGAAGAAAAAGAGACGTTTTAAAGAAATAAGAAATAAAAATTAAAAATTAAAAAATTAAAAATAAATAAAAAATAACTTAAAAGTTCTGTTGAAGTAGCCGTTGGCATTTTAAAAAAAAAAAATTATCACATTAAAGTATTGTTCATTTTAACATTTATTAAACTATCACAAATTTATCTTTGAAAAAGTGTTTTAGATTAAAGTAAAAAAATGTTTATAAATTATCTTTAGTATCAATTCCTATGTAATGTGAGACTTTTAGTTCTTTTGTTTTCTCTTGTGTTTTGTGTGTGTGGTGGTGTAAAACTTGAATAGATTCCCTTATGTAATTTCACTTAAATTTTATTCTATAAAATTTTAGCAATTAAAACCTATTACCTTATTTATTTTATTATTTAAATCTTTATCTTTTTTTTTTAAAAAAAATTAAGATTTGAGATGTCACTTTAGAAGATATAAACCCATATATAATAAGGCAGAATGCATTGAGTTTCTCCTCTGAATTTCCATTCTAGAACCTGGTTATTTGAAAAAGAAAAAGAAATCACAATGCACTTACTTGTCACCCTTGTTCCTAAACCAACTCTCAGCACAATGTTTATGAGCAAGGCCCAAATCTTCTTTACAAGAACATCCTAACTCAATGAGATTAGAATTATGGTCAATGTCCTTTTCCAATCGACAAATCCTGCAAGTCTTCTCCATAGCTAAACTTACCTTCATATAAAATATTCACAATTACATACTTATATATTTTTTTTTATCAAACTATCCAAAGCCAAGTAATAAAAGTATTTTTTTGCTCTAAAGAAGAAGAAAAAAGATTCAATACTTCAAATGTTAATAATTAGTTACATATTACCAGAAAGAAACTTCAAAATTTATGATAAAAATATGTATATAGGATAACCACTATATTTTTTTAATGAAAATAATTATATTATTCTAAATATCTACTAATCAGATGATTTATTTTCAAATTGTTAAAAAAGTAAGAAAAGAAGAATTTTGTTTTTTAACAATTCAATAGCCACTCCTTGTGAAGAAAATTTCGCGAGATGCTTGGTACAGTGTTTTAAAACCCGGACCGACCCGGCCGGTCGGACCGGTTGGACCGGGAACCGGTGGTCCAGCCGGTCCGAATCTGAAGTTGGATCGGTTATGCAGTCGACCCGTTTCAAACCGGATTGAACCGGTCAATTTTCCGGTTCAACCGGTGAACCGGTGGGTCAAACCGGTTCAACCACTTTTTTTTTTTTTTTTTTTTTAAATTTTTTTAAGGGACCATAAATCACAAAAATAATAATGAAAATTGAATCTCTTAATGAAAAAGCAAGGAGTCTTATTAAATATAACAATGACTACTTGTTCTAATATATTTGTTTGCAATATATACAACTTAAATAACTTTTATAGTATATTATTAATTTTAAATTATATATTTAATAATTCAATATCTATGTAAATATTACATATATTATTTTGTGATATTAATTGCAAGCATATTATATATGTACATATTATTTATATTTTTAATTTGTATTAATATACCGTTTAACATGTAATTTTTTTATGTATTTTTTTACAAAATAAAAATAAAAATAATTTTAAATAAGATAGAAAAATTTAAATTTAAAATAAGATATGAATTTATTAAAATTTATAAGTATAAATATATTTAATATGAATATTTTTTAATAAAAATAAATAAAAATCGAGTCATGCGGTTCAACCAGTGACCTACCAGTTCAATCTTTGACCCACTGATCCAATACCTTAACCGGTTCGATGACCGGTCCGGTTTTTAAAACTATGCTCGGTAGAATTCCATACCTCAATTCATGCGCTCAAAGCTAAAAAAAAAAGTTGAAGATTCAATAATACGGAAAAGAAGAACAAAAGCTAGAAGTGAAAGAAGACTTCTGTTATCACATTTTAACGGATAACACTAATATATTATCTACTATTTATTGTAAAAGAAGATTCTGGCATGCGGGCACTTATCACATGTTATTATCATATCATTCAGTTTCTAAATAAAGTCTATCATTTTTAATTTGTAAAATTATAATATTTTATTAAGTAAATCATTAAATTTCAAGTGAGTCTTAATTTTGCAATTATGGTAATTTATTATATTATCATAATCAATTTTTTATTATCACTCTTTAATTGATAACATTAATCAATTATTATTATTATTATTTCTACTACTATTAATTTCTATTATCCTATATATAAAATACAAATATCTATCTCGCATAAAAACGTTTATATGAACTTTTTTTTATTAGCAGATTTTTAAATATTTTTTAACTTTATTTCAATTTTTATTTATCATAATTATTTATGAATTAAATTTTTATATTTTAAAATAAATTATCAATAAATTAAATAATCTTGTGTTATAATTCTTATAAAAATTATTGATATTTTTATGTTGACACCAAATAAATGAGAGGAAGATTGGAGAGAAAGAGGGATGAGAGAGAGGGGCGATAAAAGAGAGAAAAAGAAAGAGGGAAAGATTGAGAGGAGAAAGACTATAGATAAAAGTTAGAGAGAAGATAAGAGATAGGAGTAATAGAGACAAAGTATTGACTATTGAGAGATGAAAAAATGCATATATATGTGAGTTGAGAACAAAAATAGAAAGAATTTCAATTTTCTACTTTTTTTTTTAAAGAATTTGAAATTCTAGATTTTAAAATAATTTCACAAATATTTAAATTTTAAATATTTTGTAAATAAGATTTAATAAATCATATTACGTTAAATATTAAATATAAATTTGGCCATAAACTTTATAATTTTGTCACTTGTTTACGCTAAAGGATTATGCAGGTTGCGGGTGCTAATTAAAATATCGATCCCTATATATATTAATTACCTCGGTGAGCATTTCTTAGTATATACGGAACTTTATTTGTAAGTAAAAATATTAATTCTGAGGGCTTGCTTCTTGGTATAGCATTTGCATGCGTTGTAATCAAGAATGGAACAAAATGAATGATCCCATTCGTATTAGTCAAAGAAATATCTCTACACACGAATTAAGGAAGAGTTTACACAATATAGAAATTACTAACCCTCGAGGTGACGAGACTTGAAAAGGTTAACAAGGGATAATTCTATAGTACTCATGATGAACCCCAAAGGCAACCTCCAAACCCTTTTACCCTACAAGTCTCTTTCACACGTTCTATATGTAAAACAACTTACGGAGACACCAAAATATTCATTGGTTTCCTCTTCGACCTAAAAGCAACTCACACACCAAATTTCTGGAATCATGGAATTTTCCAAGCATGCCAATGCAGCTGATCGCTCTTATGAGGATTTTGATCCTTTGTTTGTGTGGCGTAGAGAAGAGGCCCGTGACACCCTTGAACTTCACCTTCCAGGCATGTTGCATTTCATGTCTCTAAATTATCAACTTTATTATATGTATACAATAGATGACATCATTTTTAATGGCTCCATCTCTAAATATATATAAAAAGCATTTGTTGAATCTGTAATACACCCCAATATTTATTTAAATGTTATTTAATTTATGCATACCCATCTAAACGTTCAATACAAATCATATAATTATATCAACAAGTACTGATTTTAGTGATATTAAATTTTCTCTCCTTAAATAAGATTTTATGTATATGAATCTTGTAAATGAAAAAAAAAAAAGAATGATTAAAAAAAGAGCTTTCACTGATTGTTATTAGTCAGATTTTCTATCAGAGATTAGTCATTAACAAAATTAATGAATGTTTTATATTGTCAACATAATTTAAAAAAAAAGTACATAAAATGTTATTTATTGGGGTATTCGTTTTCAGGTTTTAGGAGAGATCAAATACGAATTCAGATCAACCATGTTGGTTATTTGGTAATAAGCGGGGAGCGACATATGGATGGAAGTAGATGGAAACGTTTCAGGAAAGAATTTGAAATCCCATCATATTGCAATGACGATGCAATTCATGGCAATATGATGCAGAGCATTCTTTCGGTGGTGATGCCAAAGAAAAGTCGTCTAACTCATCAAGAGGAGCAAGAACTGGTGACAGAGAAAAGGGAAAATTACAAAGAAGAGACTGAAACCACAACCAAAGAGGGAATAATAGCAGAAGATATGGCTCATGAGTTTGAAGAACATGATAATGTGAGGTTACCACAAGATACTACTAGAGACGTTGCCCTCAAATTCATGCTTGTGATGGTTCTGATATTGGTCATTGCAAGTTATGTAGCAGACATAAGCAAAAGCCTCATGGCTCAAGGTGCTTCATATTTTCACAATTAGACCAGGCTGGTCCTGGTTTAATGTGGCTAGCTATGTAAATTTTAATGCTGTGAATAAGGATAAAGTTGTTGTATCATAATAATTTGTTTGAGGGAAGTTTCACGAGGCCTATAGCTCGTTTAATTTACTTTTGAAAGGGTACCCAAACCCAAATGCAATAAATTCAATATCAAATAACGTAATTAAAAGAAAAATAGTGTGTAAATTATTTGTAACAGCAAGACTATGCTGTTTTCCACAAGAAACAACTTGACTTGCATTCCAAATCAAATTAGACGTCTTATTGAGATAAGGGTACAACAACAACAACAAAATAAGTCATCATAATTCATTCAACAACCATGAAAAGTCAAAACAAAAAAGTCTAAGACAAAGATGACGTGGCAACATGCTGAAGTGGCACGTGTCTCTCACGCAAAGATAGCTGCGATGGCAAAGACGAGAACCCCAGATAGAGAAGCCATGACAGAATTAGCAGAAGAAGGAGCTGGTGCAGGACCTGCGGCCAAAACATTGATGGCGAACTTCATTTGATGGTCAGCGCAGTGATTAGCTTTCCCACAAGCGTACCACTTCTTTCCTTCCGCTTTCAAGGTTAATGTGTCCTTTCCACTCGATAGTACCTCGTTATCTGGTGCGAAGCTGCACTCTTGAAACTGTGTTCCATTCACTTTCACCACATTGTGCTTCGTGTTATCGTAATTGAACACTGCACCAATTCACACAAAAACACGTTACCAATCACCTTATATTCTCTTTGAGTCGATTAAGATCATTGTGAAAAACAACATTACTATATTTAACGTAGCTGCATATTTAATATTCAAACTCAACTAGACATTATTGTTTGTAACAAAGTTTGAGAACTACGTAGAGTGAGAGTGCCATTAACCAATCAAATTCTGACTAATTATATAACATTGTTTTTGAACTTACAAAGGTTGTCACCAACATGGAAAACTTTGTCTTGTGCCCACTCTGTGTAGTTAAAATCAAGAGTCCAACCTTTCTCACCACCCACCACGAAATCAGTAGCCATAGCAACTGAGGAAAACAAAACCATTGAAATAGCAAGGACCACAAGGCGAGATGGAGCTGCAGAAGCCATTTGATCAATATCTGAAGAAATGAGTTATAAATATATTAAATTCTGAAACAAGTTGTTTCTGACAAGCTAACAAATTCCTCTAAGTGCAAATGTTATTGCTTAGATGAATTGTTAGCCCACACCAATTTGCATTTCAACGTGGACTATATATATATATATAATTAAGATTTGTTATGCATTGATATTATCGTATGAGGAGAAGGGTACGTACCGGATCAGGCCGGCTTTTACCCTGTGACTTATATTTACACGTAGAGATGCAATTGGTTTTGGACTTAATGACGAAGAGGATGGGATAATTGTAAATTCTGTGAGTCTGAAAAGAATTATACTTTGAAGCAATTTGAATATAAACAAATATGCTTATTGCTTTGTTTTGGAATGGTGAGGTCTTCAATATATGCCATGTGGAACGTGTCAAATGGATACATAACAAAACAGTATGTTTCTCACTGTTGCCTACTTTCTTTGCTGTCCTATTATTGCCTTAGGCTTGATTCTTTCTCTTGCAGACTATTTACATGTGTAAAATGTATTACTGCTAAAACAATTCCGATTCAGGCATATCTGTTTTCGGTGTATGGGATAGAAGAGGTTGACAAAAAGAACAGAAAAATTAATATTGAGTTTGATAAGTGATAAGATGAAAAAAGAAAGACAAATAGAAAATGTAAATATAAAAAAATAATGGATGTAAGTGTATGTTATTTTTTTTCTTCTACATAGTAAATTCTCAACTTGGTTTTCAAATGTTGTAGAAGAAATGTGGTAGCACTGTTATTTTAGTTTCAGAATTTAATGAAATCAAAATAGATTCTAAATTTGTATTTCATATTTTAACTTAATCATTTTATTAACTACAATGACACAACGTTAAAAAAAAATTAAGAACAAGAATTGAAATGATTAAAAAATTGAAAATATAGGACTAAAAAATTTATAGGGACTAAAAAGAATTAGAAAAGATAAGTATAGAAACTAAAATTGACTATTTTAAATTATAGGTAAAGTAAGTAAAATTATAAGAATTTTAAAAAATATTTTAAGCTTTTGTTGAATTATTTAGACTATTGATAACGTTCAGATTTCAATGTCAAATAGTGAGTGTTTCACATTATAGTCGAGATAGTGATAAGAATTCATTTGAACTACATTTTTCTTAAGTTAAAAATGTGAAGTTGCTTGTTCAAATAAAAAGGAAGTCGCAAGAAATTTTCAATTTTCAATTTTGATTTCAATATCATGTGAATATTGTAACACCCTAAAGGCTACCGTCGATACGCTCTAGGTTTTTTGAAATTTGAAGATTTTAAAACATTGAAACATAAAGTGAAAGCAATATATTGAGATTAGCATATTTTTATATAATTACACTATACAAAAATTACATCCATGCTTAATACAATTCATTTATCATCCGAAGTTGTCATATATATACACTAATGTGGTAGAGACATTTTATGTCAAATATTTTGATATATTTTGTCAGTCCTAAATGTATTATAAATTTCGATGACATAAAATATTCACACATTTTATGATAGGTTAAAACATGACATATAAAATTTATTTTTTATGTCAAGTGATCAATATCTATCATAAATATAAATATCAAATATGATGTTTTAGTCACATTGATACTCACATTCTATGATAGGAATAGTCACACTCTATATATAAGTACACCCACTATAAAATGTGTACTTTTCATAATGGGTATGATTATATTTGTCATAGAATGTGTAAATTTTTTTAATATACTATTAATTTTAAAAAAAATTCCAAACTTGTAAAAAAAACACTTTAGGCAGCAAAGCATAGTGAAATAATAACAAATTTAATGTAAACTAATGTAATTTGGTTTAAATCATGTTGTTATTTGATAATTGAAGTGAAAATGTAATATTTTGTCCCTAAAGATCATGCCATATTTCCAAAGAAATAAATACCAAATTCTATTGCTTATGAATTCGACATGTCCAACCTGGTCACACTACAACACAAATGATATTTAGCAACATTTAAAAAATGTTACTTAATTATGTATAAATGTTGCTAATTTATTTTAGCAACATATTATTAAATGTTGTATATAGTCTATGTTGCTAAAGACTTTTAATAACATTTTTGCATAATTAGGTAACATTTTTTAAATGTTACCAAAGTAGTATTTTTGTAACATTTTAATAATTTTTTGTAACATTTTAATGATGTTGCCAATATTTTGTTAATCTTATAAAATAATAATTAATTTTAATTTAAATATTACTATCAATTATTATATTTTTATGTCTCCTAAACTTTTAAGAGTTCCTTAAGTTTTTAGGGAAAGACATTTTTAGTTAGTCACCATTATATTTTTATGTCTCCTAAACTTCTAAGAGTTCCCTTAAGTTTTTAGGAAAAGATATTTTTAGTTAGTCACCACTAATTATATATAGAATATCAAATTTTATTTATCTTAAATATAACTATATGAGTATATATACTCTTTATAAATCATTAATCTATTCGATGTGGGACTTTAATTATGGGTTACAATTAGATATAAGAGAAATATATTTTTTTTGACTCGATGTGGGACTTTGATTTTAGAAGCAATTATAGTAACATTTTTCAAAAAAATGTTGCAAAATAACTTATGTAAAAATTTTTTACTCGATATGGGACTTTGATTTCAAAAACAATTAGAAAGAATAATATTGAAATAAAAAATGTTACTCTATCTATAATGACATTTTTCAAAAAAGTGTTACAAAATAACATTTATTTAATATATAGTAACATTTTAACAAATATAAACAAAAAAATATTACTAAAAGATTAAAATCTAGTAGTGTCACATGTAAAAGGAATGAATGACATATTTAAATCAATAGAATAAAAAAATAATTCTAATGAAAAAAATGCAACCTTCATTTTACAAAGACCCGTCTACCTACCCACACCATCCATCCTAACAATGCTCACAACAACCATTTACTACTTGTAAGATTCAAATTGATTGAACGAAAATGACTTCTGAAAGTTAGTTAAATGGAGACAAGATTCTAGAATTTGAATTCCAATTATCTACATTTAACTTGGAAACTTTCTCCTCCACAACGGACTTGTTACGAGTCTCATTGAAAAAACTACTTTAGAGGCATCTAGATGGTTAAGGCAACAATTTCCAAGAAGAAATTCAGGGAGCTCTTCACGTGTGTTTCCCTGAACAAGATCATATACATAAAATATTATCAAAATAATAAATTCATGACAAAACACTTAATTTGTTCCCTTATAATAATTAATAGTTTCAATTTCGTTCTTCAATAACTTTTTGTTTCAATTAGTCTCCAATAATTTAAAAAATGTTAATGTGAGACTTTCCGTCTAAATTCTACAAATAGCGTTAAAGGTGATGACGTGGATGTCACGTAGATGCATAGGTAGCATGCCTCCACTCCTCTTCTTTAATGATCTAGAACCCGTTCTGAAATCAGGACGGCCCGTTCCGCTTGCATTCCTTGTGTGTTAATTTTACATCTGAAACGGGCCGTTCCAAATTAAAAAAAAAACACAAAGAATGCAAGAGGAACGGGCCTTCTAGTTTTAGAACGGGTTGTTCCAGATCCAAGGATTGTTCTTGAATATCTTAGTTCTCTCCATATTGAAATTTTAACCGGGGCAAATTGTGAACCAGGATTGATTTTCTTTAAACTTTTTAATATGAAGTATCGTCTCAATTTGGAGGAATTTAATGGTATCTTTGGATTTCAAACCATAAGGGAAAAAATCCAAGATCATTTAATTCATACATAACGGGGTTGTAACAGGTCATACACAATGAGAAGCTAGTTAATGCAATTCATCTACATTCGTCATGCTGCCATTAAAATTATGCATAAGTTTATTGCATCTACTATTCTAGGTTGTGGCGGGTCAGATGGGAAAATACGCCCAATTGATTTATTATTCATATGGGCAACGATGAAAAATAAGGATGAAAAGATCAACTCTGGTGCATATTTTAATATTTGAATTTATGTTATGTTATGGGTTTTTGTTTTCAATCTTTAAACCACATTGGGACATTTTGTTGAACATTTTGCAAAAATGTAACACTTAATTTTAAACATCAATCCTGGTTGGCGTTCTAGGGCCGTTCTGATTCACTCGTTGTGTGTTACATTTGCATCTGGAACGGACCGTTTCCGTTACAAAATTAACACACAACGAGTGGGATCAGAATGGCATGTTCTAGTTTCAGAACGAGTTGTTCCAAGTTCATTAAAGAAGGACTATGAAAACTTGCCACGTATGTATTTACGTGACATCCACGTCATCTACATTTAACACCGTTTGTAAAATTTGGATGAAAAGTCCCACATTAACATTTTTTAAATTATTGAAGACTAAATTAAAACAAAAAATTATAAAGGGATGAAATTGAAACTATTAATTATTATAAGGAACCAAATTAGGTGTTTTGCCTAAATTCATTCATACTTCAAAAGGCACCTTACGTGATTTTTTAGCCTGAAAATTAATTAAAAGGAAATAAATATTAAAAAAAAAAACAATATCACTTTACTTGTATTAAAAAAGTCATCTCAATAACCAGATGGTTGAGGTACCCTAGAACAAGACTCACAACGCCTCTTGCAACAGTTGATGATCCAATGTCAATCCTAAAATGAAATGAATGCCATGATTTCGAGATAAAAATTACATGAAAGATGGTTGGGAGCTAAATGTTTGATTCATTATATATACATATCTGTTGAGCCTAATTCATTCTTAACTCACATGAATAATTCACCTACAGTTGTATATATTTTTTTGCAGATCATACCAAGGTGTCAACTCAAAATAGCAAACATGATATATTTACACCAATTAACCTGATTTTTTTTAACAAGTTGCTATATAGTTATGCAAAAATTTACCTTGAATAGTTTTTTTTCCTGAAAATAATTGATTTCTAGCACTTAACCAACTAGGCTTCTTTCCCACAATTTGCTTTATCATCCATGAACCCTAAAACATCAATGTATTTGAATATATACAATTAATACAAAATAAAGATAAGTTAAAATCATTAAACAATTATTTATTCATTCCTAA